ACAAGGACAGTAGTCGCGTTTTCTGTTGTACTTAACTATTGGGAGAATGATTAAAGCCATTTTTTTATTACATCAAAAGAAGGATAGCAATAATCAGTAAAGAAATATCATTCATTTTCTGGGCCCCAAGATTGAATTATTCGATTCCAGATCATTTGAAATTCAACCAAGTGGATTTGTACCAAAACTTTAGTCTTTTCTTCCATTCTTTTTAGCTTGCTCTTTCTTCTGTTCATCTTATTCCTTCTTGCTACTTTATACATTCGAAACCGAAAATACAATATCGATAATGGAATCTTCAAGTTCGATCTTCTTGTTTGCTTTGTGGGTGGTGAAGAGCTTGCTCTGTTTCTGCTGGGATTTCATTTTTTTGATCAGTACCATCTAACAAACTTCAGATCCTGCTTACCCATCAAGAACTTGGAGACATTCAGGTTAAAGTTTGGTGGGCATATGCAATTCAAAAGTCACCATTCCTAAGACAAACCTTATCAGTGTGGTGGGATTAACATGAAACTAATCAAGAAGTTTGGTTGAAAAATGGTGGATAGAGATTATAATAGGTGAAAAAACAGATGAGGTGGAGCCAAGTTCTGTGATTTGACCTGTTTTGCTTTTTTTGGCAATCTGTCTATTTAGTSGGGGGGTCCTGTGGTACTCTGAATGGTTTATAATCCAAGCTAAAATGATTCATTAATGGGGAGGATAGAGACAACTGTGGGTCTTAAAACCTGTTTTCCTGTTTTCCTTACTCACAACTTTAAGCAATCTCATACAACCATAGTTTGAAGTCTTCCCTATAATTCAGTGGAATCATATATGAAAGATATTGGAATATTTTGGTCCCATCACTATTTGATAGATTTTATTGTCTATTGTCATTTGCAGAAGTTTGAGTTTCAGTAAGGGAATCTCTCTGCACTTTATCATATAACTGATTAATGGCAATACAACTCATTGAACTGCACTTTATCATATTCTTTTAAACAAGAGAAGAACCCGAATGATCTCGAGTCGTATCACAAATGCAACTGATTAATGGGCTACTGGTGATGACCTCCAAAAACAGTTGAAACACAGATCATTGTTGGGGCAAAGCTATTTTTGACCCAACAGAGAGAGGAGAAGATGATCCACGAAGGGTCGAACTTGGAGTACCATCGTGAAACTCAATCGGGTGAACTCGAAAGGCGTTCTTTTGTCGACATTTTCTCGAGGCGAGGAAGATATAAGAAGGTTATATTAGATATTTAGTTGACGTCCTTAGAATTGTATTCAGACTACATATTTATGTCTGCTTAAATTGATTTCTGTTGCTTCTTGAAGTCCTTTTAAGTACCAAGCATATTCTCAGTTCTCTGTCTTGGGCAATGTAAGCTTGTTTAGAAAGTAAGAGAAAGCAATTTTAACCCAACTGCTTTCATCTACGTGATTAGATTCTGAAACAATAATAAGATGAAACCCAAGAGATCCAACACACCAAACATCCAAAATAATTAGTTTCATATACATTAGAAGCATAACTTGAGGATTTTGAAACACCTCTCGATAAAATATTTAAACAAATTAAATACACAATTCTTATTCTTCACCAGCTTCAAGTTGTCGATTGCCACCGCTCCGCAACTGTCGTAATTGTGAGTTCTGCACTTGGTGGTTCCAACTTATCAGATTCTTAAGGCTCTAGGCATGAACTTGTGCAGTTGCAGAATTGGCCATTTTAATAGATAAATGTTAAGGGTTCGATAGTTTAGATAAAATAAAGCTGATAACTTCATCTTAGTTCCGCTCTCTTTCTCCATGTATAACTTTAATATTTTAACTTAATGCTCACAAAAGGGGAAAAACCACAACTTTGAAGGGAAATTAGGAAATGTTTGAACTCAGATATGTCTCCATGGTCTTTCCGCAAGATTTACGCATTCACTGTGCCGAAAACAATCGACAAGATGATCAATTGTCAACCCTGCAGCTTGCATGAATGAATAGACAATCACTGGCCCGACAAACCGAAAACCGCGCTTCACCATGTCCTTGCTAATGGCTTCTGCTTTGGGACTTCTCAGAGGAACATTTCTTGGATATCTATATCTGTTTATTGTTGGTTTAAAGTTCACATAGCTCCACATATAGTTACTGAAAGATCCAAAATCTCTAGCTATCTGCAGTTGAATTAAAAAACCAGTAGTTCTCATTAATTACACAATCTATGAAACAATTGGTAAAAAAAAATGAGCTGATCTAGCTTACCTTCAGTATGCATTTGGCATTGTCTACAATGCACCTCACTCTGCTTTCCACCAACATAATGGCCTTATCAGATGCTATATCTGCTATCTCTTTCTCCCCCATGTTGGCAACAGTACTTGGCTCAAATCCAGCAAAAGCTTCCCTATGTTTGTTATATTATCAATGTTAATCTTAAAGTACACAAAGTGTGAGTTATGGGGCCAGTGAATATTACCTGAATAATTCCCTCCTTTTCACGATTTCAGTCCAATTGTAGTCCATCAACATGCCAGACAATGCAAGCAGCTCGAAAAGTCGACTGTGGGGTAAGTTTTCTACAAGGTTAGCATAATAATTCTTTAGTTTATGAGGATGAAAAGTTACACCAATCACCTACTTGTCGTCGTACACCGGAACGCCCCAGCACTCGTCGTGAAATGATACATAGGCTTTGTCTGTGTCAATACATGAGAGGAAAACATCAATTGGGAGTAGTATTCTATAAATGGAAACTAACTTTTCATTTTATAGTAAGATCCACTATTTCAGAGTTCGTATCAGAAAACATGTAGTTATGGTTATAACTTGTAAGCCACATTTTCTTTTTCTGAAGAAATACGACAGTTGGAGCAACTGCTGTCCTGAGTTTATGACATTCTTAATCATATAAATTGTCTGAACTTCCTAAGCAAACATTGTTTAACAGTTGAATTGTTCTTGGACAATGCTATAAAATCTCTAGTAAGCATTTATTAATGAAATCTTACCACTAGTATGGGTAATCCAGTTGCACCTCCTCAATTCTCCATCACCAAGTTCCTGACTTTGTTGTTGGATACTTTTAACTATCGGTACTTCTCTTCTCTCGGGAGGTGGCACAATTAGGCGAATTGCATACGAAATCTTCTGATCGAGCTGGGTCGAGGAGTCGGTGAGAGAAGAGTCATTAGAGTTTTGGGACAAAGACAATGACAATGAAGAAAAAGAAAATGATGAACTGCTTCTTTGAAGCCCAATTGGGTAAATCTTCTTAAGCTGTTTGGACAAAATGTTTTGGCTTGTCCTATCCTTCTCTTTAGGACATGTTTGCCTCTCCAGAAGCTGTCTTCTAACAGTGGCTTTGGATGACATACTGGCAAAAGTTAATGTTTAATGGGACAGTTTGAAGCAAAATTGGGCTGAGATTATAAATCTCTGTGGGAGAATGAAGGAGTGTTGAATGCAGCATTAATATTTGAGTTGGTTTACCACATTAACCATAATTTCCATACTTGGTTGGTGAAATGTGAGCTTCAAAATTATGGATCACCATACTTGCTACTTAGTTTCCAAGCAAAATCCATATATCAAGTTTATAATATTAGAATTAGCATTCTTAAAAGTACATGTCTTCACTTTTCTATACCCAATATCTCCTCATTTGTGCAGCCAAATCACTAAAATCAAGTTGGTTTCCCATTTCTGTATGGCTAAAATCTTTTAGTTGAAAGAAGTTAAAAATGCCAATAATCCTGTTTTAGTTGTACTGTTTGGCTCAAAGCAAGTGCAAATGGGGCCATGAAATTCTTAGTTCCTACTCCTTTACCTTAAAGTTTGAGGCATACCCATGGCCTGAATAGATTAAGATATGCCATCCATCACTCTTCCTGGGCCTTCTTCTTTCATTATATTTTATTTGGTCTGGTTTTGATTTAGATCTTTTGTCTTCCATGTGGTAGTTCTCATATATATATTTCACCTTCCACTCTACCTTTACTTGTGTATGCTGACTTTATTATGTGTTTTGGTGGAAAAAAAACATTGGAAAAGCACTTTGTAAGTGGAATTCAAACCGGATTTTTTTGGCTGGGATGACGAAACTTACCAGGGCTAAAAAAAGAGAGATAATAAAGAAAGGATTTGTTATCATGGTCCAAGTCCGAAACAGTTCACGGAAAGGAAAGAAAACATGAGACAACAAATCCAGTCTTTCATTAAGATTTTTAATCCTGAATCTAAGTTGAATATGTTTCGCCTCTTCCTCGAAAAAAGACGTATTTAACTTATTTTATAGGACATGGAGACCTAACCAAACTCAAGAGAGCGTTTAAGACATGGATAAGACTTATGATGGGTACGACTTACTAAGTCCAACCTATGTTCTAAATCAATAGACTTGAATAAAAATACCTTTTACACACAATTTCTAAACCTAACAATTTTAACATAAATCTCAAAGATACCTCAAACACATTCTACCCAACAAGTAAAATCAATATTAGATAGATAGGGGGAGTATCAATACAGAGTTCGAATATAGGAGTTACGTTGTTGAGCTTGATTCTACTGTGTGAAATGACCTGAGAGGTGTAAAATAAACCGGAGTTGAAAAGCAAAAGTGAAATATTATTAGTTTTAACGTTTTTTTTTTACTTATTATATGAATTGGAAGTAGGATACTTGATAACATGTTAAATATATTAAATTACCGATAAATCTAAACGATGAGTTAGAGTTAATTTAATTAGGGTAATTGTAGTGAGTAACAAAAATAATTCATATATTTCAAAAGATGTCACCATTTTTCCAAATTTTCAAATATAGCAAAATATTTGAATTTTTTTTTCTGAATTTTTATTATTATGATATATGATATAAATCCAATGTATATCTGTATATGATATACATCAAATCTATATCTGATATACATTCGATGTACTTTTAATATGTCTCTTGTATACATTATCAGATATATGTATTATACCTCTCATATATATATCTGATATACCTCTAATTTAAAAAATATTTTCAACTAATATACTAAATATAAGGTATATTAAATGTTTAATTTTTAATGGTATATCAACCATTTAAATTATAGTTTACCATTCCAAGTTGTGGATTGATATACTAATATTATCAATAATATTGATTACTATATCACTGTTATTTATTATATATTAATGTTAATTAGATACTAAATATAAGAAATATCAACCGTTTAAATTTATAAATTATATCATATTTGTAACTTTTTTTTTTTTTGCGGTGCATGATCCACATAAACATTTTATACAATAATTTTATATTTAAATTTTGTTTGCATCATTATTTCCGTATGAAATTTTGTTTTTGGATATAATAGTATTATATCAACATATCGGTATCATAATTATATTAGTAGATATCATGATTATATCAGCGGTAAATTATAAGCATATTAAGTATATATCAATGTTATATTAATGATGAATCATATAATCATATATAAGAAGTTATATTAGTAGTATATCAATGGTAAATTAGAGACATATCAAGTGTATATCATAGATATATAAATGTTGTATCGACATGGTAAATCGATGGTTATCATACTATATAATTGGTAAGTCATATTAGAAGTTCAGTAGATATCACAGTTATATCAGAAATATATCAATTGTATATTATTATTATGTCAATGGTATATCATAGACATATATCAGTAGTCATGTATATTGCATGTATATTACAGATGTATATCAGATATATTGTAGGATAAAGTTGTAATTTTAAAATTGGACCTCTATTTTTTGTTGAAAAAATACTATATTTAAAAAATTAAATGTAATTGCTATTTTATTTATTTTATTAAATATTTTTCCCACGTACATATAATTATTTATGGATATCTAACAAGTTTTGGATGGAGGTTTAAACACCCTAAAATATTTAGTTATAAAATATATCTTAAACATGTCACTGTTAAAACGTGCGTTTCGGCCCTTCGTGGAAATCTCCCAAATTTGTTCGCTATCAGATCGGTGGCTGAAAACGGCTCCTTCAAAATTGCCGCGAAACCCAGCGGTTTGCTAAAACCCTAACTCCCTTCCCTTACCTGGTCTCATACTGATCCTTCCAGTTCCAATCAATCCCTCCTTGCTCTAATTTCGCATTGTTCGATAAAAAGACGGCGGGATTTCTCCAAATCCTGCTCCCATTTCCATGCTTAACCGCATTCATCAATGGAGACCATTCTATTTGCTGAGGAATTGTGGGATGCTCGCTTCTTTTAGTTCCGTGATCTTTGCTAGGCCTTCAGCTTCTGCCGCGCACCTCGAAGAAGAATCCATCAGTATCGTTCTGAGCCAGAACGACCCAGTTCGTGAAATTCTTACGGGTTTAAATTTCTTTGGGTTTGGAGCATATACTGGTGGATGTAACTTTCGAACTATAGTTCCTACTTTGAGTGAAACTGTAGTGGATGACGTTATTGGTAGCTTGAAAACTCGTAATACGGACTTTGCTGTGGCTTTTTTCTATTTGTTAAGAAATGAGTACATGTTTCGGCATTCCGAGTTCTCACAGTTTGCTGTCTCTCATATTTTGGCGGGTAAAAGACGATTCAAGGAGTTGCATTCCGTTATGAAGCAATTGCTCGAGGATCAAGGTATCAGTTTTTGGTATTTCTTTAAGTCACGATTGATTGGTTGATATTAGGCATTGGGAAAAATAGAGAAATTCTTTCTCGTAGTGCCCAATCTTTATACTGGCTGAACTGAGAGAACTCGAGTTATCATGATGATGTCTATACATGGAGTTGCAAAAAAAGAATAAAAGAAAAAAAAAAAGAAGCTAACTTCCCTACATTTTTTTACTAAATAGTGGTTGAAAAGCTTAGCATTTTGCTCTCACAAGATGTATACCCTCCCCCTCTTTTGATGTAAATCTATTTACAAACCTCTTCTTTTAAGTTTTAACTTATTTATTTTAGGGAGATCCTCATTTTTAATTTATTACCATTTTTCTTTAGTTAACATTGGAATGCCTATTTTACGTTATTCATGTCTCTTTCAATATCTATATCTCTCTGGTAGGGTCTGGTTCTGCACCTTCTTTTTGTGACCTGCTCTTAAACAAATTCAGGAATTGGGATTCAAATGGTGTGGTATGGGATATGCTGGCATTTGCGTACTCTAGACATCAAATGATCCATGATGCCCTCTTTGTCATCGCAAAGATGAAGGGTCTAAATTTACAAGCTTCAATTCCAACTTATAACTCTCTATTGCACAACTTGAGGCACACAGATATTATGTGGGATATATACAATGAAATCAAAGTTAGTGGGACCCCTCAGAGTGAATATACTTCCTCCATACTTGTACACGGCCTATGTGAGCAATCCAAGTTACGAGATGCAATTTCATTTCTAGAGGACAGCGATGAAGCAGTTGGACCTTCTATTGTTTCATTCAATACCATTATGTCAAAGTTTTGCAAAATGGGGCTAATAGACGTTGCGAAGTCATTTTTTTGTTTGATGGTCAAGAATGGACTTCTTCCTGATTCGTACAGTTATAATATTCTTATTCATGGGTTATGTGTAGCAGGTTCCATGGACGAAGCACTAGAATTCACAGATGACATGGAGAAGCATGGTGTGGAACCTGATGTAGTGACGTACAACACACTTGCCAAAGGGTTTCTGTTACTTGGCTTGATGAGCGGGGCCAGGAAAGTCATACAAAAAATGTTGCTAAAAGGTCTAAATCCGGATCTTGTCACATATACAATACTGATATGTGGACATTGTCAGACGGGAAACGTCGAGGAAGCCCTTAAGCTGCGTCAAGAAACCCTTTCAAGGGGTTTCAAGTTGAATATCATTTCCTACAGTGTGCTACTCAGCTGCTTGTGTAAAGCTGGACGAATAGAAGAGGCATTGACGTTGCTTGATGAAATGGAAACTCTATGTTTGAAACCCGATTTTATAGTATATTCAATCCTCATTCATGGCCTCTGCAAGAAAGGGTTTGCACAAAGAGCTTACCAACTATATGAACAAATGTGCCTGAAGAGAATTTTTCCTAACTACTTTGCTCAACGTGCCGTTCTGTTGGGTTTATTTGAGAATGGAAATATATATGAGGCAAGAAAATACTTTGATGCTTTGAGTCATATGGATCTGATAGAGGATGTTATTCTTTATAATATTGTGATTGATGGTTATGTAAGACTTGGTGATATTGCTGAGGCTATGCGCCTATACAACAGAATGATTGAAAGGGGGATTACTCCAAGTGTTGTCACTTTCAACACTCTTGTCAATGGATTCTGCAGAAGTGGAAACCTAGTTGAGGCTCGAAAAATGTTAGAAACCATCAGGTTGAATGGATTGCTGCCCAGTGTAGTAACTTATACTACCCTTATGAATGCATATTGTGAAACAGGAAACATGCAGGAAATGTTTGGTCTTCTTCGTGAGATGGAAGCAGAAGCCCTTGTTCCAACTCATGTAACTTATACCGTACTAATCAAAGGACTCTGCAGACAGAATAAGATGAATGAATCCCTCCAGTTACTACAGTATATGTATGCACAGGGCTTAATGCCAGATCCAATCACATATAATACTATTATCCAATGCTTTTGTATGGCTAGAGACATTGCAAAAGCTTTTCAGCTGTATGATGAGATGTTGCTCCATAATCTTGATCCTACCCACGTAACTTACAATGTCCTTATTAACGGTCTTTGCTTATATGGTGACCTAAAGGATGCTGATCGAATGCTGGTTTCTTTGGAGGATCAAAATATTGGCTTGACAAGAGTTACTTATATGACGATAATTAAAGCACATTGTGCAAAGGGTCAAGTGTCTAAAGCATTGGAGTTATTTAATCAGATGTTGGCGAGGGGTTTTGTTGTTTCCATCAGAGATTATAGCGCTGTCATTAATAGGTTGTGCAAAAGGGGTCTAAAAACTGAAGCAAAGTGCTTCTTTATTATGATGTTATCTGAAGGCATATCTCCTGATTCTGAAATTTGTGAGACAATGCTTGATGCTTTTCATCTGCATGGTGATTACAGTTCAGTGTCTGAATTCCTGGCTGTGGTAGTTAAATCCGGATTTATTTCACATTGATCCATCAGAAGTGATCATTCTACACATCTTGCTCATGCAAAGAACTGAATTCTGGCTTAAAAGGTTGGCATTTGAGGTACATGTGAGATTAGCATTAAGAATTAAATCAATTATTCAATGATGAATTTATTTCTCTAGAATCTGATTCTATTAAGAGTGCATGGATGCAGAATATGGAAGTGTTTAGTGAGCTTGTTGTTCTCGTTGTAGTGCTAGTATTATATCATATTGACACTGATCTTCCCAATTTATTCAACTTGGTGGTCAATGGTCACCTGCTCTTTTTTCTTTCTGCTCGAGTATTTGCAACTTTGACCGTGCATTTTTACACACAGGCAAGTTTTACCTGCAACGATCACGCTGAACCTCCTACAAACATTACATCCTTCACCTTTTGTTTCTAATTACTGTGGTTATAGCACATTAAAATTCCAGATCATTATTTTCAAACGATACCTTTGAATTCCTTCCTTTCCGAGTTTCTGGTGAAAGTGTCATAGTTAGGAAGCAATTCTTCATTTTTTTATAGTCTAGAACCTTCAATTTTAGTATTTGTTCGCTTCAAATTGTACTTGAAACTTTGAAAGCAAGTTAATCAGTTATATGACTTGCTCGGTTATATTGCAGGATGTGGGGGATATATTTCCCTTTGCAGAATATATCAAGCTTTATCCCTCGGATAAGGGACGGAAGGAAAATCCTGTCAATAGCCCTCATCGGCTCTCCCAGCTCGGAGGCTGCAGCTTCTGATCCTATAGAGTGGTGACGACGAGCTGTGCCAACAACTATAAGCTGAGCTTGATTCCTTGCCGGTAGTTGAAGGTAAGGTATACAGCTTCTCAAAGTCTTCTGGGGATCTTCTCATTGAGAAAAAACAATTGAAAATTAGTAAATGATGTGCAAGTCCGTTGGTCTTGGGCAATAAGTTGCAGTCGTATGCCTTGTATAACTTGATCATTTCTTTTCACTTGACCATTTCTTCCGAGTAATTTTGTTATGCAGGAGTTCTCGGAACCAAGAAGCATCACGTTCTAAACTCCTTGTGGAGGGAGAGAATAGCTCATAAGCTCAAGATCGGAAACCAGATTTTGAAACAAGGCACGAAGAAGCGACTATCACTCTTGAAGAGATTTAAAGATGAATCAATGAGTATACTACTAGATCTTGGATGGCTCACGACAAAGAACAAAAAGTGTTACGATTTTCTTTTTCTTTTTCTTTCAGCTATTGCATTGATGCTTAGAAGCTGCTCTGATCTTCATGTAAATAAAGACATAAACATAAACATAAATTAGCATATAGATATCATCATCTATTATGAGTTCAAATATAATAGAAAATATGTTTGTAAAGCTAGGACGAATATTTGATGTCATACAGCATATCTTTTTTATGTTTTAAATCATTTACACTGGGATTATGCCAATTGACATTTTCTCAAATCTTTTTATTTATTTATTTTTTATTTTTCTTTGCAATTCTCTCAATCAAATCAAACTTAATATAATCCTTATACATCTTGTATACGTATATTACCTTATAGAATATCATATTATTAAAGTTTCATTTGAAGTGATTATGACAAAAGTGAATATAACTCTACGATAATTGGTATATATATTCGGTTATAGGCAGAGATTAAATTCTAGCAAAATCCATCACCTCGTGAGAACAAATTTTTCAATGTTACCRTTTTATCATTTCATACTTTTCTATTATATTTAGTAGGTTTGAATAATGACGAACAAATCGTGTTTTTTTTTAAATGTCATGACGGCAGCATTAACATTACTCRGGAATTAAAAAAAATTAATGTTTTAAATTAATGTTCATCGTTGATAGTTATTTAGAATAATTGATATTGCTAAACCATACAAAAATTAAATAATAGCTTACAAATTTTAAAAATTAAGTATCAACCTAGCCTAATTAATTTGGCACAAGAAGTTAGTATTACTTTATAACCTTTTTTTTATTCTCAAAATTAGAAATTACCGAAATCTAATTTATCAAGCACAACAATCTCAAATTCGGCCGAAACTGAACAAATAAAATAAAAATCAACTTTTACCAGTGAATTTGACATGTTATATCACTTTTATGCCTAAATTTAAAGTATAGTATGATGAAATTGAAATTTTAAGTTGGGTAGAAATATGATATTTTATGAATAATAATACGGAGCATCACTAAATTTTTGGCATGACAAGTAGAAGATAGGAATATAGAAAAAAAAATTATCTAGTATTTAATTGAGAATTTGATTCCATAAGAGCGTTTATTGAGGTTTAAGCTGGGTTAGCTTACTGACCAGCTGGTGCATGTCCTTCCATGAAGTCCCATCAGGGCCCACTGCCTTCACTGCCTCTCTTTTCAGAGCTCGAGCTTTCACTTTCTCCGGCGATTCTCCGCTCATTGACTCGGCGATGACCTTCCCCAACTCGTCC